AGCCAGGATTCTCCCTGTCTCACTATCACCACAAACTAACTATGGCCTCACCTGGAACCTGGGTTAATTTCCAAATAAGTTATTTTTAAATCTTTATGCCTCTAGATTATTATGTGAGGCTATTTCAGTAGAAAGTTAAAAATAACATTTGTACTGACTAACAACAGAGAAAATCACAGATAAAATGCAAAGCCTAGACGTGAGAAGCTCCAGGCCTGGATAATGCAACAGTTCATGTATGCAGGCAGTTTCTTTGCCCAGTTCTACACTGACACACCCAGCAAGTCAGCTTCATGCCAGATTGGACTCCTATTATGTAGAGACATGGCAATGACATTCTCAAGGGTCACACACAAATATGAAAATTGGTGAGAACAGGGGAGGAGATGACTGTTCAATTCTCTGAAGGACCGAGAAATCCTGGACAAACCCAGGTGCTGTGGGTCACTCCTGTAGTCCCTGCACTTTGGGAGGCCGAGGTGGGCGGATCACCTGAAGTCGGGAATTTGACACCAGCCTCACCAACATAGAGAAACCCTGTCTCTACTAAAAATACAAAATTACCTGGGCGTTGTGGTGCACATCTGTAATCCCAGTTACTCAGGAGGCTGAGGCAGGAGAATCGCTTGAACCCGGGAGGTGGAGGTTGCAGTGAGCCAAGATCGCACCATTGCACTCCAGCCTGGGCAACAAGAGTGAAACTCCCGTCAAAAAAAAAAGAAAAAAGGAGACATGCAAAGGGCAAACAGATCATACGTAGATAATATTCAGGAAAATGCAAATTCACAATAAGATGTCTTTTCACCCTTCATCTCGGCTAGAAAGTCTGTTGTCTGAAGGACAATAAATAAATATCAAAATCTGGCCAGGATGCCTATGAAGGAAAACTCTTATAGACCACTGGTGGAAATGTGAATTAGTACAGCCATCAAGGGAAAATAAAATGGAACTACCATATAATCCAGCAATCCAACTGCTGAGCATATACTTATTTAAACAATTAAAAGAAAAAACTAATATTGGAGAGATACCTGTACACCTATGTTTACTGCAGCCCTAATCACAATAGCTAAGATATGAAATCAATGTATGTGTCCATCAACAGTTGAACGGATAAATAAAACGTGATATATTTACACAATGGAATATTATTCAGCCTTAACAATGAAATTCTGCCGTTTGAAGCAATATGGATGGAACTGGACACCGTTACCTTGAGTGAAACAAGCCAGACACAGACAAATAAATACAGCGTTTCTGTGTTATACGGAATTTTTTAAGAAGTTGATGTTCCAGAAGTAAATAGTAGAGTAGTGGTTATGACAGGCTGGGAATGGGGGGAAACTGAGAGATAAGAAGAGTTTTGTTAACAAACGCACAATCACAGGTAGACAGGAGGGATGTGCTGTAGTGTCCCACAGCACAGTATGGTGATTACAGCTAACAACAAATTGTACGTTTTCTGTTTACACATAATCAGAAGAGAGAACTTTGTATGCTACCAACACAAATTAATGTTAGTGTCTGAGCTGATTAATTGGCTCATTGTTCTGATTTTGGTCATACCTCAAGGCACACATGTATTGAAATGTCACAATGTACCCATAAGTATAAATAGTTATTATATGCCCACTTAAAACACTCTTTAAAAATAATTTCATTGGCGTACATTACAGATGATTCAACACAGAGACAGGAATAAATAGCATTTTTCTTTGAAATAGCGAATTAACTAACAATGTAGTTACATTCATTTGCACCAAACTGTGTATTTGATCATGCTAAGTATAGACAGACTTAGGCATACAATAATATATTTTAATTTTAGACTACTACTTATTACTCAAAATGTAAATAGTTTTAAAACAACTAAGTAGGATGAATAAAGTTCAGGAAAGGTGTGTGTTGTCTGTGATGTGTAAGCTTTTTCTTGTATACCACTCTGCCCGTGGTGTATGTGTGGTGTGTGTGTCTGTGTCGGTTTGTGTTTACTCTGCTTGGGATTCTCTGTGATTCTAGGATCTGTAGTTCAGTGTCTTTCACAAAATGCGGAAAATTCTTAGCCATTATTTTTTCAAATATTTTCTCTGTATTTATAATTTCTCCTTCTCAGATTTAAAATATACATATACTATAATTTTGATATTAATGTTTGGTTTCTTTCTTCACTTTCTTTTCTTTGCAATTTACTTTGTGAAATTTCTAGTGACATTTTAAGCACATGGCTTCATTTAAAAGCTGAGCCAGCTCTACTGAGGACTGTGCCCAAAGCTTGCTCGATGTTTATACGGCATTCCTTTTGATTTCTTATGCGTTTCCATTTGATTTCTTCTTAGTATTTTGATATTTCAGTTGCCTATTTAGTCCTGCATTATGTTCACAGTTGCTTTAAGAGATTCTTGCATATGAATTAGAGCTACTTTACATATATTGTTTAACTAGATCATTATAATATCTGTATCATTTACAAATCTCACACTGATCTTTCATTTATTACAACTTTGGTATTTCTCATTAATGTACGTAATAACTGTTGACAGCCACACATGTTGGGATGGACAGTTGTTATTGGTCTACTATTTCATTTTATGCATTTTCTGCCTGTATTGGATCACACTTTATCTTTGCCAGGACTTTATTGTGGAAGTGTCTGTGAATCTTCTCAGAGCTACATTGGACATTTTGTTTTGCAGTGGACGTCAGAGTTGAAGTCTGTTCTTCTGTGTCCACCAGAGACTTCAGATCCTCCAGTGATAGCTTGTTTTTCTTTCCTGCTTGGCTTTGCCACTTCACCTTGTTCCCTCTTCCAGAGAATCATGTTCAGCTCCCTTAGGTGGATTAAAATGTTATTTAAGTGACAATTGTGAAACTAGTGGAAAGCAATAGAATAAAGGGAGATTTTCTGACCTTTCCTGGGTTCATATTGTGATCCTGAGTCTGGGTGTCAGCTTTCCAGGGTTTCTGAACTTCCTCCAGATGAGATGTCCATCTGTGTGTTCTTGCTCTTTCCCCTGGGGTGGAGTCCTCTTGTTTTCCCCAGTTGTTCCCTCCCACAGCTCCAATGTTCTCTTTTGGTGTTATCACCTTCCAGATTTGCTGACTTGAACTGCAGATTAGGGCTCTGATTAAATAAGAAAGAGAGGGGAGGTAGTTCACAATGGAACTCAGGTGAAGACCCCTTTTCCCATCTCAGTTCCTAAGCGGTGCCCCCAAGATACTGCTTTTGGTGGCTTGCCCCTGCAGAGTAATTTCTTAGTTCTCCAGTGGGGTGGGTCTGAATGCTTTTCAGAAGTGTGGGCACTTTTTCCCTCCTAGACAGACACATTGGGACTGAACGATTTCTCTGACTGTCCCCATTCTGGGGGAAAGGGATTCAATAGGATAGGAAAGCTCTTCAGGATGTGGTCTCTTAGAAATTCACACTATAGCACATTTACCACACTTGACTTCCAGCAATCCAATGCATAAGTGTGTTTTTATCTTGTAGCAGCCTACATTTTAGACATATGCTGCCTCTACTGAACTCATACCCCAGCTTTGTTACTCTCAACAAGTCTCAACTTGTCTCTCCCTAGATTTCACATTTGATGTTTATGTTAAAACTTCAAGTATCTAAAGTATTATGAAAAAAAATTTGGCTGGTTGCAGTGGCTCACACCTGTAATCCTAACGCTTTGGGAGGCCGAGGTGAATGGATCACCTGAGGTCAGGAGTTTGAGACCAGCCTGGCCAACATGGTAAAACCTATCTCTACTAAAAATACAAAAATGTTAGCCTAGCATGGTGGCGTGCACCTGTAATCCCAGCTACTCAGGAGGCTGAGAAGGGAGAATCGCTTGAACCCAGGAAGCAGAGTTTGCAAGTCGTACCATTGCACTCCAGCATGGGTGACAGAGTGAGACTCAGTCTCCAAAAAAAATTGAAAAATTCCAGCTTCTCTATGTGTTATTGTTGATCTTGTTGTTGAAAAAATAAGTAAAATATATTATTCATCTATGTCCATTTCCAAGCTGTGTAGAAGATTTTTTAGTAAGACCCAGAGTAATAAAAGAATGTAAATATTGTTAAGCTGCTTAATAGAAAAACAAATTATGGTAAATGTGTTCACTGGAATACTACCCATCACTTATAATAAATTAATGCCTGAGACACAGAACAACAAGGTAAAATATCTAAGTATTTATGTTGAGTAAAATAAGTCAAACAAATAAGAATATATACTATGTTATTTCATTTTTATAAATTCTGATAAATAAAAATGCATCTAAAGTAACATAATGAAGATCAGTAGTTGCCTGGGGAAATGGTAGAAGGGGAGAGGAGGAGGAATACAGTAGAACAAGAGGAAATATTGAGAAGAATTCACTTGCCCACTCTCTTGATAATGATGACAGTCACATCGTGTTTATTAATTGTACATTTTAAATGTGTGAAGTATATTAGCTTTCAATTAAGCATCATAAAATGTATTACAAGCAAACAAATGGAAACTTAGAAAGACAGAAAAAATAAGTTAACTTTCAGAAGTACCTGAAAATTAATGTACCTGGACCCTAGTTCTCTCCATATTTTCAGGCAAGTGCTGGAGTGCAGCAAAACCACATGTGCTCTTATTATGGAAAGTGGGTTCTGATAAAAACACTAACACATCCAGCTTTGTCCTGGAGTTGGTTAAGGAGCAGTCACAGCCAGTGATGAGGAGCACGGGGCGAGTTACTGGGGTTCACTCATTCCAGACATGAGCTCCTAGATGTACACAGAATCCTCTCCATGTGTGGGTTCACTTCCACATCCGTAAATGGAGAAAATACTGACTGCTACGTAACATAGCTTACACAAATATTTAAAAATGAAATAGGGTGATCATGGCAAAGTGTTTATCACAGCACAGTTTCATAAGACAGCATATTTTCCAAATACCATCATTGTCATAAAACTTCTGCAGGGCACTGTTGCCTTCAAGCATCCCACCTACAGCTTGTTATGTATTAGGAGACATGCAAATAGGGCCCTCCCTCTAATGATGAAAACCAACCGAACCCTGACCCTGCAGCTCTGAGAGAGGAGCCTTAGCCCTGGATTCCAAGGCATTTCCACTTGGGGATCAGCCCTGAACACAGAAGACTCACCATGGAGTTGGGGCTGAGCTGGATTTTCCTTGTTGCTATGTTAGAAGGTGATTCAGGGAAAACTAGAGAGACTGAGTGTGAGTGGATATGAGTGAGAGAAACAGTGGGTTTGTGTGGCAGTTTCTGACCAGGATGTCTCTTTGTTTGCAGGTGTCCAGTGTGAGGTGCAGCTGGTGGAGTCTGGGGGAGGCTTGGTCCAGCCTGGCGGGTCCCTGAAACTCTCCTGTGCAGCCTCTGGATTCACCTTTGGTGATTATGCCATGAGCTGGGTCCGCCAGGCTCCAGGGAAGGGACTGGAGTGGATCTCATCCATTAGTAACACTGGTAAAACCATATACTACGCTGACTCCATGAAGGGCCGATTCACCATCTGCAGAGACAACGCCAAGAACTCGCTGTCTCTGCAAATGAACAGCCTGAGAGCCGAGGACACGGTCGTGTATTACTGTACTAGAGACACAGTGAGGCGAGGTCAGTGTGAGCCCAGACACAAATCCCCCTGCAGGGGTCCCCGTGACCACCAGGGGGCGCCCGGACACTGAGCTCGGGGCTGTCTCCAGGGCAGGAGCCGGTGCTGCTAAGGCCTGGCTTCCTGTCATGGTCTGCGGCTCCTCATTGTCAAATTTCCCCAGGGAACGTCTCCAGATTTACAATCTGTACTAACAGTTCACGTCTCTGAATGCAAAACTTTTCTTCTTCCTTTTTGTTTCTATTTTTTTGTTTTGTTTTGTTTTGTTTTTTACAGTAGGACACATCCTCACCTCCACAGAACCCACAGTGTCACTTTGGGGGCAGAAATAATTATTTCGTGGTCAACAGGATAAAAGTCCTGAGGATGCTCAGGGGAACCTGAAGAGTGTTTTCCAGTTAGACTCAGGGCAGAGACCTCCATGGGAATCTCTGATTAGAACAGGCTTTGAGTTCTGATGGGAGCCAAGAGAGACGCTCACCCAGAATCAGGGTCCTTAAAACCGCATGGTTTTCACAGCTATTCCCTCTTGTCTTGTAAAACTGGGCACATCTAACTCAGACTGATTCCGTGAACTCTCTTTCTGCTAATTCATCTTCCTTCCCTGTAGACTTGATTCTCACAGTTCCCTTTCTTCTTCTCTTCCCTGAAAACTGAGTATGTGTTATCTGTATTCAAAATCCCAGGGCTCAGGTCTGCAGGACCTGGGTAATCTGAGGGGACTTTCTCACTCACCCTTGCCTGCACTTTCCTGCTGTCTTCTGTGAATGGAGACGTTTGGAAAATGAAGCGGACATTAGTCATGAAGGGAATAATACTAGTTTTCTCCAATGGGATACTGACGTAGAGCTTTTCATGCTGTCACAGAGTTTGGACTCTCACCTGTGACTTTGAGGAGAGCTGAAGATGGACACTCCATGGTGCTGTGAGCTCTGGATAATAGTAATTGTAGGGTCTGGCTAGGCAGCCTAAGATCAATACTGCTGGTCATCGGGAAAGGCAGGCTGGAATTCCTGGGAAGACCTGCATCTGCCATCCACCACGGAGTCCCATCGTCTTCTGTTATGCTCTGACTGAATCAGCCCCACCTCGATTATTTAGAACACTCTTCATGACTTAGGAAAGAATAATGGCAGGCTCTACTAACCCCTGTATTTTGCCATGGGAGCAGCACCTTGGTTAGTGTGTGATTTAGTAGATGAGACAGTGGTCTACTCAAGGTGACACATAAAATTGTTTGTTGCCATTATGATATTTTATTTTATATTTGGCAATATAATAATGCTCATATTATAAATATTTCACTACATTGTTTGTGTCAGAGGCTTTGGAACTAGAACAACTTCATCTTGAATAGGAGCTAGGAAAAATAAGAATGAGACCTGCTGGGCTACATTCCCTGTAAGCTAAGGAGTTCTTAATCACAGGGTGAGATAAGAGGTCTGCACAAGATCCAGGTCATAAAGACCCTACTGGTGAAGATTACAGTAAAGAAGCTGGCCAAAGCCCACCAAAACCAAGACAGTGACAAAAGTAACCTCTGTTTGTCCTCACTGCTCATTTTATGCTAATTATAATAACAAGCTAAAAGACACTCCCCCCAGCGCCATGACAGTTTACAAATGCCATGGCAACATCAGGAAGTTTCCCTAGATGGTCTAAAAAAGGGGAGAAATACTCAGCTTTGGAAACTTCTGGGGGATTCATGAATAATCCGTCCTTTGTTTAACATATAATCAAGAAATAACCATGAAAATGGACAACCAGCAGCCCATACCACTGCTCTGCCTGTGGAGTAGCCATTCTTTATTCTTTTACTTTCCTAATAAACTTGCTTTCATTTTACTCTGTGGATTCACCCTGAATTGGGACCCCTTTCAAGTAACATTTGTGTTATTATTGGTTTTCTAAGCAGAAACCTCCAAGACGGAATGAAGTTTCCCTGAATTTTTAGAAGAAGAACATCCACCCCTTTGAGAGAAAATGCAGAGGGAGTGGAATGAAGCTGGGAAGTTGATCGTATATGAGGGAAGCCTGTCTCTGAGTGAAGGAGAGAGGAAGGGTGGATTGAGTGGAAGGTTCCTATATTTCTGTGCTGTGTGTGCTGTGCAAGGAAGCTGCAAAATATAATTGAGTCTTGTGCAAGTGAGTGCTACCTCTCGGGGAAACCCATGACTCCCAGAAATGGCTCTGCTTACGAATCATTATGAATGTAATTGCCAATGCTGAAGGTGGGGTCTGGTGAGAGGTATTGGGTCATGAAGGCAGATCCCTCGTAAATGACTTTATGCGGCACACTTGGTGACAATTGAGTTTGTGCTTAGTTCAAGTGAAATCTAGTTCTTTAAAATACTCTAGGACTTTCCCCATCTCTTCTCTTGTACCTGCTCTAATTATGTAATTTGTTTGCTGCCCCTTTGCCTTCCTCCATGATTGTAAGCTTTCTGAGGTCCTCACCAAGATGCTGGCACCATGCTTCCTGCACAGCATGACCATTTGGAGTTGGATGGCCTGAAGGTGAGAAGAGACAAACTGGGTTATTAGAACACATGTATCAAAACCAAACAAGGTGGTAAGGACAGCTTGAAAAAAAATTCCAAGGCTGCTACATGCCCAGATAACTGGGCTGTAGTTAACGCCTGCTGAGATTTGGGCATGGGTCAGGGCTTTTGTTAGCTCCCTTGCACTTATTTTCTCAAAGATACCTCTGGATTAGGAGCACCCTGTTTCTTCCCGTCACCTGGCATGATTTGCAGGATAATTGCTCAGAACTAAAATGCTGATGCAGATGTTTATATTCCCCATGCCTTTGTTTAATGCTGATGCAGATGTTTATATTCCCCATGCCTTTGTTTCGTCTGAGCTGCAGCTGGAGGTCATTGGTTGGTTCACAGGAACAGGCAGAGTTAGTCTAAAATGGAGGCACATACTTAAAACAACTGAAGAGATTAGAATTTAAAGACAAGTGTATGATGTTTTGAAACATAACTTTTCTCTCTCCAGTTCTGATTTTTGTCAGAATGTAATCATTATAGGTCTGAGTTGTTTTCAAAATAAACTTTAGTCTTATGGTTGGCCTGATCATTTGCATAAAGTGCAGAAAGAATAATTAATAACAATTCTGTGGGAAAAGCCCGCAAGCACTAGGAGCTTCACAGTCTAACAGCATGAGCACATGCATCCTTGAGCAACTCTGAATATTTCCATGTCGGCCTGCTCCTATCTTAAATACCATCCCGTGGTATCCACCTCAGGTACACTAATATGTGGTTCTCTCTGCAGGCTCCTCTCCTCAGATTTCAGAGTTTTCTTTTCCTCTATGGTATCAACTCAGATATGTTGAATGTTTTTTCTTTATTTGTAGTTTTTCATGTTTGTTGTTAATGAGATCAGGATAATATCATAGTTTACTCATTTTTTACATTCCCTTGCTGAGGAGCTGCTTTTCTCTATAAAATCCATTAACTGAGAAAACAAATCACCTTTTGTTACTGGTGAGCAATTAAATAGTTTGGCACATATTTATGTACTGGAATCTAATGCAGCTTGAAATCAAGGCATGCCTCAATCATAAAAAACGTGGCTAAATTCTCAAGGAATTGTGCTGAGTGAAAGAAACTAAGGAATTAGGAGTAAATTTTATATGATTCACTTGTAGAAATTTTAGAAGATGCCACTATTAAAAATTAACATGAAGAAGATTTAAATTTTTCTGAGAATATGGTGTTGGGAATAATGGGGATGTGAGTTAAATTTGAGGGGAATAAGAAAAGATTTAGGGATTAATTTAATTATTCAAGACTTGATTGAATTGCTGAGTGAATTGTTGCAAACATAGGTCTACATTTTTCAAATCATTTATTATAAATTTGAATTAATAATTTATTTATTATACTCGAATAAAGCAATAACAAAGAAAGAAATGAATAGTTTTGCTAAAATGGAGCAATGAAAAAACTGATATTGACAGAAGCAATATGACTAACTTCTGAAAATACACACACATGAACCGTGGTTCTCTCGGCATGTTTAGGTAAATTACAGAAAGTTGTCATAGCAGATGGGGAATCCTGTAGTCTTCACGAGGCCTGGTCCACGCTGCCCTGGAGTTGTCTCAGGGGAGCCGCCTCTTCCGGTAGTTAGAGCACAGGCCCAGATAATAGGATTAATTTTTTTTAGATGTGTAATCTTAGACACACTGCACCACTGCTGTGTTGTCTATGTAAATTATCTTCTGTAAAATATAACATTGAAAACTGCATTATATATATTGTGTAAATATGTAAACATAAAGTCGGATTATGAGAGCTAAATGCTAAGGTAAAATCACATAATAGAAAATTATATTTTCCTGAATGATGGAATTACTACCAATCTCCCCCAGGTCACTTCATCTGCAGTGGGCCCGCCCTCTCCTCAGATGTCCCACCCCAGAGCTTGCTGTATAGTGGGGGACATGCAAATAGGGCCCTCCCTCTGCTGATGAAAACCAGCCCAGCCCTGACCCTGCAGCTCTGGGAGAGGAGCCCAGCACTGGAAGTCCACAGTGTTCCATTCGGTGATCAGCACTGAACACAGAGGACTCACCATGGAGTCTGGGCTGAGCTGGGTTTTCCTTGTTGCTATTTTACAAGGTGATTCATGGAGAAATACAGAGATTGAGTGTGAGTGGACATGAGTGAGAGAAACAGTGGATATGTGTGGCAGTTTCTGACCTTGGTGTCTCTCTGTTTGCAGGTGTCCAGGGTGAGGTGCAGCTGGTGGAGTCTGGAGGAGGCTTGGGAAAGCCTGGGGGGTCCCTGAGACTCTCCTGTGCAGCCTCTGGATTCACCTTCAGTAACTACTACATGAGCTGGGTCCGCCAGGCTCCAGGGAAGGGGCTGGAGTGGGTCTCATACATTAGTAGTGGTAGTAGCACATACTACGCAGACTCCGTGAAGGGCCGATTCACCATCTCCAGAGACAACTCAAAGAACACGCTCTCCCTGCAAATGGACAGCCTGAGAGCTGAGGACACGGCTGTGTATTACTGTGCAAGAGACACAGTGAGGGGAAGTCAGTGTGAGCCCAGAC